CAATTAACAAAATGGCAATAAGTACATACTTGTCAATAATTACTTTAAATGTAAATGAACAAACTGCTCTGATCAAAAGACAGAGTGGCTGAATGGATTAAAAAACAAGACCCATCTATATGCTACCTATAGGAGACTCACTTCCGATCTAAAGACACACACAGACTAAAAATGAAGGGATGGAAAAAATATTCCACATAAATGCAAATGAAAAGAAAGCTGGGGTAGCAAATGTACATCAGACAAGACAGACTTTATTTTTTTTAAATTTTATTTCAGTTTACTTTTTTATATAGCTGGTTCTTATTAGTTATCTATTTTATACATATTAGTGTATATATGTCAATCCCAATCTCCCAATTCATCCCACCACCACCCCCCCCACCCCTGCTTTCCCCCCTTGGTGTCCATATGTTGTTCTCTACATCTGTGTCTCTATAGACAAGACAGACTTTAAAACAAAGATGTTATTGAGAGACAAAGAAGGACATTACCATTTAATGATCAAGGAATCAATCCAAGAAGCAGATACAACAACTGTAAATGTATATGTACCCAACATAGGAGCACCTAAATACATTAAGCAAATATAGGTAAACATAAAGGGAGAAACTGACAGTAACACAATAATAGTAGGGGACTTTAACACCCCATTTACATCTATGGACAAATCATCCAGAAAAAAAAATCAATATGGAAACATGGCATTAAATGACACATTAGACTAGACAGATTTCATAAATATTGATATATATAAAACATTTCAACCTAAAGCAGCAGAATACACATACTTTTCAAGTGCACATGGAACATTCTTCAGGACAGATCACATGCCACAAACTAAATCTGAATAAATTTAAGATAACGGAAATCATATCAATGGTATGAGCAGAGAAATCAACTACAAGAAAAAAAATGAAAAAACACAAACACATGAAGTCTAAACAATATGCTACTGAACAACCAATGGGTCACTGAAGAAATTAAAAGGAAATAAAAAAAAAATCTGGAGACAAATGAAAAAGAAACACAATCCAAACACAACACAACAATCCAAAATCTATGGAACACAGCAAAAGCTGTTCTAAGAGGAAAGTTTAGAGCCATACAAGCATACCTCAGGAAACAAGAAAAATCTCAAAACAATCTAAACTTATACCTGAAGGAACCAGAAAAAGAAGAATAAACAAAACCTAAAGTTAGTAGAAGGAAAGAAATAATAAATATCAGTGCAGAAATAAATGAAATAAAGACTAAAAAAACAGAAAAGATTGATGAAAGAGCTGGTTCTTTGAAAAGGTACACAAAATTAATAAACCTTTAGCCAGACTCATAAGAAAAAGAGAAGGCCCAATAAATAATCCAGAAATGAAAGAGAAATTACAAATTAAGCCACAGAAATACACAGGATCATTAGAGATTACTTCGAACAATTATACGTCAACAAAATGAACAATTTACAATAGATACATTCCTAGGAACATACGATCTCCCAAGGCTGAATCAGGAAGAAACAGAAAATATGAACAGACCGGTTACCAGTAATGAAATTGAATCAGTAATTTAGAAAACTACCAACAAACAAAAGTCCAGGACCAGTAGGTGAATTCTACCAAACATTTAAAGAGTTAACACCTATTCTTCTCAAACTATTCCAAAAAATTGAAGATGAAGGAACACTCTGGAACACATTCTATAAGGCCAGCATCACCCTAACAAAAAACAGGCAAAAACACCACAAAAAAGTAGAATTACAGGCCAATATCATTGATGAGCACAGATGCAAACATTCTCAAAATATTAGCAAACTGAATTCAACAATACATCAAAAGAATCATATACCACATCAAGTGGAATTTATCCTAGGGATGCAAGGATGGTTCAATATCCACAAATCAATAAATGCGATACACCACATTAACAAACTGAAGAATAAAAATGATATGATCATATCAGTAGATGCAGAAAAAGCCATTGATAAAATTCAACATCCATTTATAATAAAAACTCTCTAGAAAGCAGGCATAGAGGGGACCTACCTCAATATAATAAAGGCCATATATGACAAGCCCACAGTTAACATCATATTCAATGATGAAAAGCTGAGAGCATTTCCTCTAAGATCAGGAACAAAACAAGGATGTCCACTCTCACCACTTTTATTCAACATAGTTTTGGAAGTCCTGGCCACAGCAAACAGAGAAGAAACATAAATAAAAGGAATCCAAATTGGAAAGGAAGAAGTAAAACTGTCACTGTCTACAGAGGACGTGATACCATATATAGAAAATCCTAATGACGCTACCAAAAAAATCAGAATTAATGAATGAATTCAGTAAAGATCCAGGATAAAAATGTAATACAGAAATCTGTTGTGTTTCTGTACACTAATAACAAACTATCAGAAAGAGAAATTAAACAATCTCATTAACAATTTCATGAAAGAGAATAAAATACCTAGGAATAAATATAACCAAAGAGGCAAAAAACTTGTACTTTGAAAGCTATAAGACACTGATGAAAGAAATTGAAGACGACACAAACAAATGGAAAGATATACTGTGCTCATGGGTTGGAAGAATTAATATTGTTAAAATGACCATAAACCCTAAGGTAATCTACAGATTCAGTGCAATCCCTATCAAAATACCCATGACATTTTTCACAGAACTAGAACAAATAATTCTAAAATTTGTATGGAAACACAAAAGACCCCAAATAGCCAAAGCAATCTTGGGATAGGAGAACAAAGCTAGAGGTATCATGCTCCCTGATTTCAAATTATACTACAAAGCTACAGTAATCAAAACAGTCTGGTACTGGCACACACAAAAAAGATACATAGATCAATGTAACAGAATAGAGAGTAGAGAAATAAATCCAAACTTATATGGTCAATTAATCTCCAACAAAGGAGGCAATGGGGAACAGATAGTCTCTTAAATAAACAATGCTGGGAAAAGTGGACAGCTACATGCAAAAGAATCAAACTGGACTACTTTCTAGCACCATGCACAAAAATAAACTCTAAATGGATTAAAAACTTAAATGTAAGACCTGAAACCATAAAAGTCCTAGAAGAAAACATAGGCAGCATGGTCTTAGCAATATTTTTTGGATCTTTCTCCTCAGGCAAGGGCAAAAAAGCAAAAATGAACAAATGGTACTACGTGAAACTAAAAAGGTTTGGGGGCTTCCCTGGTAGTGCAGCGGTTGAGAGTCCGCCTGCCGATGCAGGGGACACGGGTTCGTGCCCCGGTCCTGGAAGATCCCACATGCCGCGGAGCAGCTGGGCCCGTGAGCCATGGTCGCTGTGCCTGTGCCTCCGGAGCCTGTGCTCCGCAACGGGAGAGGCCACAACAGTGAGAGGCCCGCGTACCACAAAAAAAAAAAAAAAAAAAAGTTTTTGCACAGCAAAGGAAACTATCAACAAAGGCAGCCTACCAAATGGAAGGAGGTATTTGCAAATGAACTACCCAATAAGGAGTTTCTATCCAAAATATACAAAGAACTCATACAACTCAACAACAAAAAAATTGAAAAATGGGAGGAGTACTTGTATACACATTTTTCCAAAGAAGACATACAGATGGCCAACAGACATGTGAAAAGATAGTCAGCATCACTAATCACCAGGGAAATGCAAATCAAAACCAGAATGAGATACTACCTCATACCTGTCAGAATGGCTATTTTCAAGAAGATAATAAATAACAAACATTGGTGAGGATGTAAAGAAAAGGAAGCCCTTGTGTACTGTTTGTGGGATTTTAAACTGGTACAACCACTATGGAAAACAGTATGGAGGTTCCTGAAAAAATTAAAAATAGAACTACCATATGATCCAGAAATTCCACTTCTGAAGAAAACAAAAACAGTAATTGGAAAGATATGTGCACCCCTATGTTCACCACAGCATTATTTACAATAGCCAACAAATGCAAGCAACCTGTGTCCATTGATAGATAAATGGATAAAGAAGATGTGGTATATATATATATACAATGGAATATTAATAGGCTTAAAAAAGAATGAAATCTTGCCATTTGCAACAACATGGATGGACCTAGAGGGTATCATGCTAAGTGAAATAAGTGAGACAGAGAATACAAATATCAAATGATTTCATATGTGAAATAAAAAAATAAATAAAATGAAAACAGACTCAACAGATACAGAGAACAAACAGTTCACAGAGGGGAGTATGGTGGGGGTGGGGTCGGGTGGGAGAATTAGCTGAATAGTTAAGTGATACAAACCTCCAGTTATAACGTAAATAAGCCATGGGGATGTAATATACAACAGCATAAGGACAATAATATTATAGTAACTTTGTATGTTGACAGATGGTTAAAGGACTTATCGTGGCGATCATTTCATAAAGCACGCAAATGTCAAACCATTATATAGTGCTCCTGAAACATAATATTGTACATCAACTATATTTTTAAAGGCTTCCAGTGTGGCAGGCACAAATTGCTTTTTTGCCAGAAATATTAAAATCATTTTATGTATTTTTACAGTTGCCTAAGTATCCACTCTATTTTCTTATATTTCTGAATCAAAAGGCATTAAATAAACATCTCTTTGTTCACTATAAACACTGGATGAGGCAAATGTGAAAATCATTTGAAGAAATGTGAAACAGTAAAAGCAATTTACTTTTGTCAAAATAAGAAAGTGCCAAAGGCTGTTATAAATGGCAAGAAGGCAAACTTAGCCAATATATGCAAATATAAATGTAAAGGGGGGAAACTGAGCATAAAATTGTATTTGTATGTAACATATACATGTATGTAATGGACACATGTATGTACACAACACCATTACAAGAATGAAAAACAAAGATGAGGAGTAATTTAAAACAAAGCAAGAGCATTTTCTTCTATTACAATGCTTAACTTCATAACAATAAAATGTTAATAAGGAAAGAAAATATGGAAAGAAAAGCCCAGATCTATATACATTTTATAAACATCCATAACTAAAACATTTCATACCTGTAAACATGGCGTGAAAGTAAGGACTACAGGCGGCCAGCACCACTCTGTGAGCAGAGATTTCCATGTCTTCAGCCACAATCGTGACATCACACAGCAAATTCTGACTGTTAACAAAACAGGGAGAGAATAATTTTAATAACAAGAGTAAGTGTATTGAACACCCTATGCAAAAATTTTATAGTAAAAGCCCAATTTTCTGAAGTTAAAACTAACTAAAAATTTCCATCCTTAAAAACAGGATACCCAAACATGAAGAACACAGAAAACAGTCATGACATAGGCCAACATGCCTTGGCCCTCACTCAGAATCTTGCCTTTGTTTAATAGAGAAATCTTTCCAAACTTGATTACTGATTTCTCAACCTAATATAAATTACTGGCAGCAAACCATTAATGGGGTGTAAAAGGGGACGCTGTTTGCATTAAGAACTGCATCAGCAGAAGTGGCAGATGGTGGTATGACACAAAGATAAAGACAAAATAAAACACATGGAGAAAACTAAATTGGGTCAAAGTATCAAAACTATACAGACACAGAAAATGCCCTGGGTCATCAAGCAAAGGTAAAATTACATTCAACTACACCTGCTGCTTGAAAGGCGTTTGAGCATTTGAAGTCTAACTTAATCAGAACATTTTCCCAATGCAAAATATCTCATTCTTCAAGGTCAGAAAATACTATCACACATAAAATTAAATGTAATTTTAATGCTGTGCCCTGTAAGTTGAAGCACAGGTCACAATGTCATATGTGACATCAGGCAGGTCACGTGTTAGACTCAAGAGGTGGCCATCACTCAGCTGTAGTTCCTCCAGATCAGTGTGGAAAACTGACAAAGTCTACAGTCTGCTCTGCGCAGATAAAATCATTCTGCAATTCTATGAATTCCATGGGTTCACAAGTTAAGCAGGGGGAAGTCAGTGGTGTTTTCAGGAAGGTGTTATACAGGAGCTCCACCCGCATGTATTATTTCACTTAGACCCTACCAAAACCTTATGGGATCCATGTTATTGTGATTTTTACCCTTAAAATGTATAGCTGGGGAAACCAAGGAAAAGATGAATAAGAAGCCTGAAGTCACCACTAGTGGCAATGCCCGGATTCAAATCTATGGAGTCTGGCTCACAAAACCATCTAAAGCTATGTGGTTTTAACACTTGTTAAAGCTTGAATAAAACAGGGAATATAAAGAAAGAAACAACACCCAATTATTATTTGACATACTGTATACTAGAAGCTATTTTTTAAAGTTCTATATATAGTTTATAAAAGAGCCGGTTTTAGTGGGGTTTTAGCACTACCACTACAAGAATAGTTAGAAAAAATCAAATTCAACAAAGTCCTGCAAGATTATCTCTGCCATTAAGGAGACTAGCAGAAAGGACTGACAATGCAAAGATTACAGGACAAAGTGGAAAGCGCCAGAGTGAAGATGCTAGGGGAACAGGGGAGCATCTAAATCAGACTAGGGGTCAGAAAAGGTGTCCTGCAGCTACTGCCCTTAGCCGAGTTCTAAACACAAGTAAGTGTTAGCTGGATGGAGAAGGACAAGAGAACCCCACACAGAGAGAACAGCAGATGCTGCTGGACAGAGACATGAAGCAGCAAAGCACAAACGGGGTGTGTGGCACAAGAAGCATGGGCGAGAAGGAGAAGAGGGATGCTGGGGTCAGCAGGGCCATCCAGGTTTCCTACGGTGACCAGGTCATCTGGACACAGCTCAAACGTGAGTCAAGTGCATCTTTATGTCTATTTTCCTTTTGTCAATAATCCTTCCTAGTGCTCTGGTTTCAAGATGGAACATAAGTGGAATTACACTTGAATGCCTCCAAATCACATAATTGATTACATTCAACTTCAATTATAATTACTCATTGATCCAAACCTTCTAGCATAACGCCCGCTGGCTATCACATAATTATCTTGGCCTTCCCGGCTTATTAGCTGATGTTAGTTAACTAATAGAGTAAAAACACTGCCAAACCAGTATGCAGCCACACCCTGGGTTAGGTCACGTGGAGTCTAATGCCACATTATAGATCAAGGACATGCTTAGTTTTAGTGTTCAATTTTTTATCTTTCTGTCTCTAGCAATAACATGTTTTTAAAACAGCACTCACAGACTAGAGAGATTTGACCAACCTTCTTATCATTCAGCCAGTGTGTGTGTCTGTTGACTCTGGCCCTTACCTCTTCATTCCAAGTGTGCATGCTCACAAGAAGCTGAATGACTTTAGGTGAGGAGGGCTACAAATAAAATCCGGCAATAAAAATAACAGAAACTTGTTTTAGCAGCCCATACCCAAAGTCTACATGGTGAGTTTATATTCCTATTATGTGAAATCTAATGAGGGAATGGACTATAGAAGAAAAAGTCTTTCAGAATAATGGTATAAATAAAGTTGCTACTTAGCAAAATCTGAATTTATTCACTCATTCGTCAAATATCTAAAGTGCGTACTGGGCACCAAGGACTATGTCAGTTTACCACAGTAAACAAGACAATGTCCGTGATAGCAAGGAGTTTACAGTGGAGCTGGGGAAAGAGACAAGGTGACAGGTACTTACAAAATGAATTGATAGCTATTAGGGCAAGTGTGGGGTGTTTGAGTACACAGGAGACAGGTCAAGCCCAAACATACAGGAAAGCTTTGGAAAGAAAACTGCTTCTAAGCTCAAGTCTGGAGAATAACAGGAGTTACACAGGCCTTATGTAAAACTCAAATGACACAGAAAAAAAGATAGGCACTCATCTCCCAAGTGAAACATCATGAAAATCGGTCCTTCTCAAGAAAAAAATTGCTTTGAAAATGAATCATACCCAAATATATCTAGACACCCTTTGGTTTTCTGATATCAAACGAATGAATTCCTAAGACTAGAAAACCCTATCACTGCTGTATATACAGAAGCCTCCCTTAATCATGGTGGATACATTCCAAGACCTCCAGTGGATCCCTAAAACCACAGATAGTACCGAAACCTATATGTACCATGTTATTTCCTACACATACATACCCATGATAAAGTTCAATTTATAAATTAGGCACAGTAAGAGATTAACAGTAACTAGTAATAAAATATAACAATGATAACTATACTGTAATAAAAGTTATGTGAATGTAACCTCTCTCTCGAAATATCTTACTAAACAAATTTAATGCCTTCTCTATCTCAACTAAGCAATTATCATGCCCTGTGGCTGTAACTTTCATAGTTTGAGGTGCAAAAGCAAAACTAGCATAAATTTCTTTTTCCTTTTTCACTATTTCACAGATAGAAGATTCCTTCTTACCATAGATCTTTAGCAGCCTCAGCATATGATTTTTTTTCTTTTCTTACTAAGTCAAGAACATTCACCCCTTTCACTTAAAGGAAGTACTTTACAGCATATCTTTGGCACATCTGAATTGCCAGCATCACTTCTCCTGTGCTTTGGGGCCATTATGAGTTAAAATAATGGTCACTTGAACACAAGCACTGTGATACTGGAACAGTCAACCTGATAACCAAGAGGGCTAACGGCCGGGACACACTGGACAGAGGGATGATTCATGTCCCAAGCAGAATGGAGCAGGACAGTGAGATTTCATCACACTACTCAGAACAGTACTCAATTTAAAGCTTATGAATTGTTTATTTCTGGAATTTTCCATTTAATATTTTCAGAGTGTGGTTGACTACAGTAACTAAAACCTTGGATAGGGGGGACTAATGTGTATCTTCTTAAAGTAAAATGTGCCATTAGGCTCTGAGATATCTAAAATAATTGGTAGTTTCACGAAACAAGAATTTACTTTCTACTGGAAGTGGGGGTGGTGGAGAGATTATATCGATAGCATCTGTCCACCTTTCTTCCTCAGGTGCCAGGCTGTGTGAGATCTGGAGGCACCTCCTGCCACATGGAGCAGAATCAGAATAACCGCCGAGGTGCTAGGCTGCTGAGATGAGCTTTAGCCAGACTCCACAGAGCAAACACAAGCCACAGCCTCGGAATGTGCCCAAAGGCATCTTTGGAGCAGCATCAGTGTTAGGATAAAGAAACAAGAGCAAGACAGAAAAAGAAGTTAGGCAAGAGGTCAGAAGCCAAGAAAGTTAAAAGCTAGTGAGGAAGCACAGGATGAGCCAGATGCGGAGCTGCTGATCAGCTACTTCATCAGGTTCTGGCTGCTCAGAAAGTAGGGAGGTGGGGAATGAAAACAAGCTGTTTTAAAGGTGAAAGGCTTCCTGATCACTGACTTAAATCAGTTATATTTAACCAAACCTCCAAAAACTGATAGTGTCATTTACAGGCAAGGGAGACGCAACCTAGCTAAAATGTCAATAATCTTGAAGAGCAACACAACTCCATAACAAGTGTCACCACCATCACCTTCTTCATCTTAAAACAATGATGGTTTGAATTTGAATTTCTGTGGCAGTGAAGCACAGGGAAAACCTAGCTGTTGGGCTTACTAAGGTTCACCACCACAATTAGAGCCCTGAAAAACAGCACAGCCCCTTCAACAGATTTGCACCTGCTGAGATTTTCTAACAGGAAGCAGGAAAGGATGACAGTCAACTTGGAAACTCGTATGAAAACCTACTACAGTCAGTGATTTAGAAACTGCCTTAAACTAGAAAAGGATCCCAGAATAGAGAATCTCACATAGAATCAAGAGAACAGAATGACAGGGAAAAGTGACAAAACCAAGCCACAGGAAGATGTGGGGGGGGAAGCACATTACTGAGTATTTGTCAAGAAGGGAAGGTAACAACTCCAGATTTGAGGACTTTTAAGAATACTTGGTCACAGTTGAGAGGAGGTGAAAAGAATAATTAGAAATAAAGTGAAAGAAGATATGAGTGACAGGGAAAAGATGATGGGGAGGAGGCAAAATGGAGAGATGAGGATTTCAGAGAGGGGAAACAGAAATGGCAGGAGTGAGTTTCTGAACATGTGTGATAAAAGCTCGACTACATGTAGAAAATGGAGAATATGTACAAAGAAAACTTCCTTATTAAAAGTTACCTTTTAAAAAAACTTGGTGAAACAAAACATGAGCTAGATACTCTTAGCTATAATAATTTAAAAGAAAAACAGCCAAGGTAGCATCTTCCGAT